CTAATCGGGCTACGGACTCCTGTACAACTGAGCCTTCCTGTTCTGGTCTGTTTCCCTGACCTGGCTCAGACTCCCACTTGCCCTTCCGGACTGCAGTATTGGAAACACTCTGGGCGGCGGCTGCCACAAGTAGTTGGCAGCCCTCCAGCTGGATCCTACTGCGTTCAATGGAGATGGACTGAACTGATTGCATTGTGTGGTTGTAACCTGTTTGTAGCTGTGGATTAATAATGTTAATAATAATGGTAATATTTACCTTTCCCTGAAAACTGAAGCATTGTGTCCTCACACAATTACTGTTTTCCATTCACCTTTCAGTGGTGTCACATCAAATTCCCAGTGTTTGTTGGTAACGTTTCATTTTTGGATTAAGTGAAATTAATTTTGATTTGACTGTTACCAAAGACCACCATCACACACATTTTTGTTGTATCACGTAGGCTACTAATCTAATGGACATCCCCTCAGCGCACCGCAGCAGCTGAGCTGATAAACTGAATTACCAAAACTCTACCTCAAGGACTAATTTCAGCTCTATTATGTATTCTTTCATATATTCTATGTTTATTCCAGTAGCTTGAAGTGTTTGCGTAGTTTGTTAAACATAAAAATTATCATGTGATAGGTATTATTAGGTTGAATAAAGGACCTCTTTTGTTTTAATTGTGGTTACATGGGATTACTGTATGTATGCAGCAGTAATCGGTTGTCTATAAGAGCAAAAGTCTAATTCTTTTAAGTTATCAACTTGACTAGACAGAGACAAATATTTTCCATGTGACTAATGATTAATTAACTTATGAATGAAAAGTTACTGACATTTGGATTGGATTTTAACAGCCGATCCAAAACGTCCAGCCACAAAGCCGCTAATAACATCTGGTAATGGGGCAAATTGTAAGTTATAATCATTTAACCAAAGACCATTACTTGGTTTTACGCTCAATTTGAATGATATTTTTATTGACTATAACGTCTAGTTCTCGTTATATATATTTATAATCTGCTAGTAAAATTCCACCACAGCACCTTTAGGGTCTATTTGGACAGGTAGTCAACATGTACTTGTCCAAATAGGTTCTCATGCCTACAAAAAATTGTAGATGTGAGAAAACTAAGGTGATAAACATGGATAAAAATAAAGCCCCTCCATGGCACTCTATCTTAAGGAAAACTCAGCAAGTAGGGCTCAGTAAATTATAACATGTCTTCTTTTTCTTTAAATTAACACCAGCAGTATTTTCAAAATATAATCCTAAAATGCAGTTTATAAAAGTTTGATGACAGACATAATGGACCAAAATGAACAATAAAAGTAGTGGTGTATCAGATGAGAGACAAATGCACTACCTCCGTTTATGTTTCTTTATAATCTCTTTATAAAAATTAATACAAAGCCAAGCTCCATCTTTTGAATTGTTGCCCTTTTCCTTACTTCTCAACAGACTTTTAAGAGTAAAAACATAAAACCTTACTGTTTCTTATCAGTGAAGGCTTTGTAAGATAGAGCTTATACTTCTGAGACTACTTCTTTGTCTACTGGCTCACCAGACTCTAATTTCCTTATGTTCGTCAGTCTCTTCTAATCCAATGCATTAAAATGAAAAGCTTAGTGCTGATTTAATATTCTACAAGCCATTTCCTCCTGAATTTCTAGATGAATCTGAAAGGGCATGAGTATGCACTGCCTTTTAAATTAGAATTACTTTATGTGGTCTTCTAAAACTTACAGCAAAAAACATAGTTAAAACATATATCGACATGCCACAAGAATAATGTTTGGCTGTTGTCCCTTTTTTTTTTTTTTTTGCATATGAACATTCATGATGTTGTTCCAATCTGCCAGGATGTTGTTTTCCACCCTAATATTGTTCTACTATTGTCATTTTTGACAGTTAAAATATATTACAATCCAGTCTAATTATATCACTTGAAACAGACTCTCACCATCGTCTCTCAGTGTGTTGAGGACTCCTTTATGGCCACAAGGGCTGCAAAAATGTTTGTATGCAGGTTTACCCCTCACTTTCACATATACCAAATTAGAGGCAAAAAATGTAGTTGCAATCCTTTTCAGGTTTGATGAACCACTTTTCATGCGGATACAAGGGAATTCAACAAAAAGTCAACTTGTCGACTAGGCTGAGTTTACTAAAATGTAGACAACTTAAAAATTTGGCCTAACTGATACAACCAGGACTGTCCCAGCAGCAAGACTTATTGTACTGTACGTAGGTGGGTTAGGATCTTACCAAATAATGTGTGAGAATCTACCATCACTGTCAGCTTCACAGAAGGAATAATATATTCTAAGAGGTAAAATCAATCATTTGACATGTAAAAAGCTGTAAGAGTTGAATAGGCGTGTTTATATTTCTACAGAATTAATAGACTGCTTGTATGGTGAAGATACCAACATCCTCCCCTTATTATAACTGTATAGCTCGATATTTGTTCCTTTGATCTCGAATAAAGAGTGACACTGGGCAGGCATCTGAGTTGGCGCATATTCCTGAAAGATGTCCTGCATTGACAATTTTAAACTTTGTGACAAATACATTTTTAGTTGGGAATTTATTATTAGTAAGTGTGGTATTTCTTAAACAATCGGCAAACAAAGGGTGACTATCACTTGGGAATCTGTGCTTTTTAAGTTTTCTGAGCTTGGATATTCCATTTATCCATCACATACGTCTCAACAATAAAATAGAGAATTTTGGGAGGTCGGAAATTGGATTACCGTCTTTTGTCTGTTCATTATTAAAGTATTTAAAATCCCCACAACGACTATGCTAACACACTTCATACTGGCAAACTCTTTCCTCAAAACAACCAACTTCACAGCACCAAATTGTCATGTGCACATCGAAAAAGGGAGGTCCAACTGTAGGGATCTGATGTTCTACCCCGTGTTTAGTGACAGTTTTAGAAAAGTTGGGAACATAATGTGCACAACAAACACTTAAAAAAATCCCCTGTACAACAAAGTTTACCTGTATTAATGGCCCAGCTTTGTGTGTCATACAGTGAAGAAAATTATACTGCATCTATCAAATGTCTATAACCAACATTAATTAGGAGCCAATGAGCACAAAGGAAATCAGCACTTATGATAGGAACTGAGCAAGCAGCAACGTGTCATACAACCTGCATGACCTGTACTAGAAGCTTCGGTCATGAAAACACATAGTCACCGACATTTCATCAAATGTCTTGATAAGAGAGCCAGTAGCAGACCACGACCTTCAGAGAGACTGTTGGAGCCAGCTGGGGGATTGAGGCTCTTCTGGGAACATGAATCAACCAGAAAAGGTCTCCCCGTCGAAGAGTCTTCAAAAAAATCAGCCATTCCTTGTCAACAATGGTTCAGGGTGATAGAAACACTGGGCTAATTCCTGGTATCTGCACGTAGCGATCCCTTCCATCATAGCTGGTCTCTAGGGATGTCGCTGGAAAATCAGACATACCTAAAGACTACAAACTGCTCCACTTGCCTACCGCCTAGAGATCAGTGTCTAGGCAGTTCACTAAAATCAAAGCACTTCTAGGTTGTGATCCAATACTTAGAGTATTAGTATAGTATATGATCTTTTTCTGCTACCAAGTGGTTATCCTTAATAACATCACAGCTGATCACGGATGTATCATTGAGTTGAAAGGGACAGAGTTGACAAGGACAGCCAGGAGCTGAAAGCAGTAGGAGGAAGAGGTGGATAAAGAGAAATCCCCCATTTTTCATATCCAGGAGGGATAACATGCTCTCGATCAGCTTGGGACCTGTGCTATCTCCCAGGCCAGAGAGGGAGAAAGGGAGTTACATCATAAAGGCAGCAGTTTGACTATTGATGTCACAAAGTAGTTCTACTTTCTTTGGTCTAAGGAAATGTAACAGTAAGAGTTAATTGTGCTTCAATGTGGAGGAACCATGAAGGAGGATTGTGACACCAGAAGTCCAGGAATTTAACCATGACAGTAAACTAATCTGTAATGTTAGGTGGAGACTCAAACGCAACGGGTTGGCAGGAGTTGTTTTTGCCATCAGACCTTGACATGTCCACTTTTTGGCGTCAACAATGTAAAGGTTTCAAAATAAGTTAGTGTGGGACCTAAGTAAGTTCTCTTTTAATCAGCTTCGACAACAGACCGGTTTAAAACGCAGAAAATACACCAAAAAACAACCGCATATCTCAGAAGGTTAACTGGCTGAACTGTAGGTGTGAGTGGAGTGCCCTTGTGGTACACAACAACAACAACAAAAAAAAAAATGTTGATGAAATACCACTTTTTCAAAATTTAGTTGCTTTTTTTTATTCAGCGTCATTTGTTTTAGGATAAATACGATCTCAAATCAATTAAGCAAACACAATGGTCAAAATAACACTTCATTTTAACAGGATGTAATATTATTACTATCAGTCTAAGTCATTTAAATAAAAACTTATATTTAGATTTAGGTAATGTATTTATACAACGGGATGTACCTTAATCACTAAAAAAATTTGATAATTATCAGAGCAACACAGGACAAACAACCATTTATGCACACACTCACACCCAAGGACAATTTATAGAAGCCATTTAACCTAACAGTCATGTAATTGGACTGTTGGAACCGGAGTACCCGGAGAGAACCCACGCATTCTCAGGGAGAACATGCAAACTCCATGCAGAAAGACCCCGGGCCGGGAATCGAACCCAGAACCTTCTTGCTGCAAGGCAGCAGTGCTACCGACTGTGCCACTGAGAAGCCCAGTAACATTGTTTATGTCACTAAGAGAAAAATATATTTTTAATTAATGTATTATTAACACTTAAGCACCAAAATAACATGATATATTCCTGACAAGGCCATCACACAGATTAGACATATTTCAGCTGCTGAAAGTTGAAAAACCATCTTGGCAATTCAAGTTGAATCTCATTAAAAGTTGGCGGAGCAGGTGCCTTGCTTTTGACAGGTGACAGATGGGAACTGTAGTACTGAGCCACACTCAGCTTACCTCAACGGCAGCCTTGGCTCGCTCAAACTCCTCCTCCAGGGATTGATGTCTTGACAGAAGGGCGCTACCCAAGCGCTGCTCCTTCGTTAGACGAGCCTGTCACACACAAACACACACACATTTCATCATATAAACATTTATGCCAAACATAGTCTTTTATACATACTGTACACCTGTACATTTACGTAACACATCACAGCACACACGCAGCCAGAGGAAGAGGCGGGTTGGGAGAGAGTGCAGGGTCAGCCCTTGCTGATTTCTGAAAGCCATGTAAATATCCCTGCCTTGACAAAGCCTCTGACATGCTTAGGAAGGATAGCAAAACCACTACTGTCAGCAACCACCACCACCATACACCCAGGTCTAAATCTGAGAAACCTGCTTTTCTCAATTTCACCCTTCACCCAAGCCTGGCCCATTTCTTAACACCTGCACATGCAAAAAAAAAAAAAAAAAAAAAAAAAAAAAAGCAGATAAATTCTCTCTGACAAATTTAGATGCAAAGCTTTGTCCTACTTTGAAAATAATAACCATCCAGTTAAGTCCATGCATGTAGTTTGGCATTTTGAGACTGCAGTGTAACTTTCATTATTTTTTTATTACAAATCTGTTCTTGTAAATGGTGTCAAGTGAACCTTTTATGTCCCTGTTTAATATAACACAGGATTTACCGGCTATTATCAAAGGTCGCATGTATCCCAGGGCACGTTAACCTATTACCAAGACTTATAATACTTTATATTTGCGGTTATTTCTTGGAAGTTAGGCGAGCTATTACCTGAAGCAATTCCCAACTCTTCTGAATGCCACCATAGAGGACTAATTAAGGTTTTGCCGCTAAATGGGTTATGTAAATAAAGCATATGCATATTTCAAATAGAGCTAAAACAATCAGATTAACTGATTAATGGATAATTAAAACAATAATCAACTAATTAATAGAATATTCATTAACTGGAGTGTACAGACTTTAAAAGATGTCATTTGCTAAAATAACAACCAAGTCAGAGCAGTATTAGGCCAAAAGTCTACTAAAGATATATAAATATGCTGCGTTGAAAAACTTTCATTTCTACAAATATTTACTTTTCAAATCTCTAAACATTCATTTGAAATAGAAAAAAATTTTTTTCGTTCAAAATTAATTTAAAATGTGCATTGAAAATAATTGTCTACTAATAGTATCTCTTTTTAGATACTAGCTAGATCTTGTCACATTTAGTTTCTGGTGCCCTTTGGGATGGTAAAAGTTGTTTAAATACACTGCAGTTGGTATGAAGGAAAAATCCACCCCATAGAGAGATAAAAATATCCCTAAACAAGTTTCCTACGTTTTGTTGCTTGGTCGTATGTAGATAATATTTTCTTAGAAACAGTTCCCACTAACTTTAGAAAATTACACACTTATAAAAATCCACAACAGGTTTTCAAAACCAAATTTTCCAAACTTGGAAGTTTTTAAAAAATGTATCCTTCTAACATCAATGCAAAATATGATTAAAATATTGTTGGCAAACTGATATTTACAACATCTAAGATGTGGCCTATTATAAATCAACAGAGCTGTGCCATCTCTTTTTTATGTGTCTCTTCACATTCCCTTGGATTCACAAAGCAATTTCTTAACTTTACAAAGCAATTTCCTAAAGATATGGGCTTTTTAAGGCAAATCCTAATTTTCATTACTATTCCTAAGTCAAGCTTATTTTATAAAATGGTGCACATTTAGTTTTTTACTTTTTGAACTAAAAGTTGCCTTTAAGAGACCTTGTACCCTTGTGGAAGAGTAATAAAATTAATAATGATTGAGGTATAGTTCAGGTTTAGAGGCTCTGAAGACCAAAGTCTACTGATACAGTAATTACAGTAAAATAACTACATCCGTGGTCATTTTTTGATTCTTGTATATAAATGATCTGACCCATGAGGACAGTGGTTTCCAAAGTGCAGTTACAGGCTGGGCATGATGGAAATAAGCAGAATAAATTACCAAATTTAGGAGGAAAATGGGAAAAAAAAAAATTCATTTTTAAAATTGTAATTTTGTGATTACAATGAGATTTATATTAAACTTTATTGCAATAGGATTTACTGCAGTTGACATTTCTTTGTTCAATTGTTAAAAACATTGGTCACAGGGCCCATCAATAATAGTTCTGTAACCACTACACTGGGACATGGAATGGCTTGCTCCTCAAGTGTATAAAAGAAAACTTAATGGATTTCACTATCTCACTGATGATGATATGCAATGTAAAAACTGTACGAAAAAAAATTTATGCATTTTCTTCATACATTCAAAATGCACAAAGTTTAAATTCAGGAGGAACCCTGTTTTTTGACCATTTTAAAAACCTAGTTTTTTCACTCATCATTATTGTGTAATATATGACTGATGGATCAGGGTGGATTTTTCCTTTGGCTCAAATAATTAAGCAAAACACTTGTCGGAAAAAAAAAATCATGCAAGACAAGTTTCCTCTTTGCATGCATGCTCTTTCCATGTGTTTATGTTTATGTGAGGAGACAAGGTTCAAAAAGAGGCTTCACTAGTCAGGATTGTAAAAATCTATAGTATCTGAACTACAGATAAAACGTGAAAATCCTCAGTAAAATAGATTTCTGTGTTTGTTTGTCAATAGCCTCCTTCCAGTAGCTCCAATCTTCACTTGAAAAAAAAAATCTATTATTCATGAGAGCTGAGAAGGTGATATATGCTTGCTTAGCAGGATCAACACTAATGATCTCAGAGTGAGACACATCTACATAATTTATAGGCTATTTATCTAATAATGGCATCTGGAAATAAGACTCCTTATGTTAACCTTATGTTGAAGTATCAACAAAAAAGGAAGGTGTATTGTATTTGGATATAATAGCACCAGAAAAGAAAAATCTGGATTTACTAAAATAATTCAGTTTTGTATTTTTTAAGATCTGATGCTTTTGTAGTGCTGTAAGTGTATAATCTTTGTTGTTGAAAGGATACATAGGGAGGCTTACATGTCTTCCACTAATATACTGCCTGTTGAGCTGAAATGGAAGAATTGTAGGTGTTAGGACAAAAAGATGGGTAAACAATGACAGAACATGGAGAGTTTTTAAATAGAAATCTTTAAAACATCATTATGGAATTATTCAATCATTTAATCACTGAATATTTTAAATGTCCAAATGATGATTGAGTATAACAAACTGTTCCACATAAACAGGCACATATTAAGCAAACAGAACTTTACCATCTTCTGCCGTAATATTAAACACTTACTTGTGAAGCAAGGGCTGATTCTGGCTCTGCTTTGGGGTTTGCCTCCAACATGTTCCTATTTGAAGAATCAGGTTGGATTTTACAGTCTAAAGACCTAAAGGAGAAAACATTAACATCAGCATCAACAGGAATATAGTATATTACCACTTATTTTATTTGGTTCTTTTAACTTGATGTGTGTGATCATTTCCACTTATTTGTGATGCTTCTGGTACAATTAAGTTTATCAATTATGAAAAGAAAATTGTTTGTAATCTGCTTTGAACATGAAAGTTTTTATTTTATTTTTTAATAGAACAGTAACAATAAGAAAAATTTGCATTTAACATCACAACATTGCTATATTAAGAGTTGTCTGCTGTGTTCAGATAAGGTGATGTAAACTCTTTATTTCTACATGTAGACTTTTCACGCAGCAGTTGGGGCAAAGAGGCCACGCAGCTTACCAGCAGGGGGTTAGACCCAGCTTTTTTTTGCAATGGGAAAGGAACTAGATGCAGTTTGTTAGCGGGTGGACCCGTGTTTTCCAAACCCACATGAACCCGCTTTAGTGTGTGACTAGTAATTAGTCTGCATTGTGCAGATGATGTTTAGCTGCTTAATAATAGGTCTATTCATAAGGTCACCTTTACAGAAACACAGGAAGGATATCTAGATTGAAATCCCCAATGGTTGCTATAACCCCTTTGCCACTTGCTGAAAAACATGTCTAAACCCGGAAACAATCGCCTTTTGGTGGCAGTGGGAATGACTTCTTAACCCATGTTGACCCTTATCAAGCAACTAGTCAAGTGACCTGGCTTAAATTTGCCTTCAAATGGCGATTGGCATACTGTAGGAAGTCAGACCCAAGTTGACCCGCTAATTTATGCGATACCACTGAGCGCAAAGTACGGACATCAGCATATCGTACCAGTTCCTTCTGATATAAAAAGCAAAAATAACTCTGCTTGTACTCGATAAATATAGTGCAGCACTGGTGAGAAAGATTTGGAAAGATAAAAGAACGAAACAATAGAGAACTTACTACACACTGGCTTTGGTTGAAAAAGTATTAACTTATAAGGATCAATCCCAAGTATTTAATCAATAATGTGTTGCAAAGCATTATATTTCACCTTTCAAATGTACCAATGTTTGATGAACTAAGAACCTGTGAACTTTAAGACTGCACTAAGTTTGTTACCCATGTGAGCAATAGCTTTGGCCTTGAAAGTGACTGTGCATACAGATTCAGCTAGTTCTTCGCAGCCTGGGAACAATAAAATTCTCCCTATGGCAGCCAGATACTGGTGATGACATAGAAAGGTTCTGATCCAGAGGAGGATCAGAACCCTGGTCAAGGTGTGTATTGTGAGAAATAGAATTTACACTGACTGTGTAAATGTGACTTTGAAAGCTTCTGAATATCTCCCCTGAATATCCACTGATACATAAATGTCTTGAATTTAATGTTTAACGCGTTAAATCATGACTTACACTCTGTCCATCAAATTAATCTTGGGGAGGTGATGTAGGAACAGAATATCCTGTTGTTTCACCTTAACACATCCATGTTGATCTCATACTAACCTAGCATTATGGCGTCACCAGACAAGCAGCAGTCGGGGAACAGAGGTCACGCGGGGGGTCAGACCAAGATTTTTTTGCCAAATGCCGATTGTTAGAGTGCTGACCCGTGTTTGAAAAACTGCCATTAACCCGCTTATTTCAGTGGGAAGGAGGCGTAGCTATTTAAAACATTAGTATGTTAAAATAAGTGATATTAATTTTTGCAGTTTACAAGAGAGCAGTGACACACAATTATGACAAAATATGACCCCCTATTACACGGTTTAAATTAGTTTCCTGGCTGTAAAGGACATATTCTAAAAGGGACTATTATGATATGCTAGTTGATCATTTTTGTAATAATATTAATTTGCAGTCATAGTAAGAAAGTTTAGAACCTACCATAAGAATTCGCTGGATGAATTTTTGGAAGAACGGCGTCTCTCGAGCTTCCATTTTCTGTTGCCATTCCTCTCAGTACTGGAATTAAGTTCTTCCCATTTATCCAAAGACCCGATGGCAACTAGGGACAACATTTGACATATAACATCATCAGATTGATCACTTCTGCATAATAGTTCTCAAGCAGCCTCATTTGAATAAGCAAATCAAAACACAATCATGTTTTGATGGTTGCAAAGAGCATAATCTATTAGTAAAATGTGACCTAGAAATTACCAATTATCTCATAAGTCTGACAAGTCCTAAGTGCCTCTGATGTCTCACAAACAAAAGAGGGGTTGATGTTTTTCAAGCCGTTTAATCATAAAAAGCTTCAGGACTTAATTCAATGTCAGTGTCATTCACTTTGACTTCCTGTACATTATTAACTTTTTCTTTCACCTTTCAGACTCCACATGCAAAAGTAATTGCCTGTTTCCTGCAAATGCCTTTTGAGATGATAGCTGTTGTTACCTTAAATTGGTTTAGCCCCGCTGTGGCCTATCCTGATCATGTTTGAGGTTGGAGAATAATGGAAATTATCGCTAAGGAGGTATGGAGGGAGAAAGGCAGAGACAGGTTTCTCACATTTTTTTGCTTTCAGAGCACAGCGAAATAAGACAATACAGAGAATTTATTAAATATTTTCCTTTCATTGAATAGATCAGGTAAATAAAAAGAGATCCATGTTTTGATTTAAATTTATTATGTGGGCAAGAAAAAATTGTTTCTAATCATCAAATATCTCACATTATGTTGTTTGTATTTGTATTTGTTGGCCTTTTTAAGTAACCTATAGGCTGTTCGTCACCAATTAAAAATCAGCGGGGTCAGAATAAAGAAAATCATCAAGCAGTTGTTATGCCAATATGCCATGATCATACTTTTTGGACATTGGGAAGCAGTGTCCATATTTCATCCTGATAGGATGACCAGAGAAGAAAACGCAGCTTTGGTGAATAACAGCTGGGGGACTTCTGCAGCCCCCCTTTTTCAGCCAAAGCAGCCACAAGCAGTCACATGGAAGTCACAGAGGTGTGAAAACCTACCCCCCTCCCTGTGAGAACAGAACAAAACCACAGAGCACACAGGATTCTTCCTCTTTTGGCCTCTTCTCTCTTCACTTTTTCTCCCTCGTCTGATCCAGCCTGCTTCTGCTCCTGCTCTCAAAGCTGGGGCCCACTGTGGCCCACAGTGGAGATGCAGGCCCCAGGGAAACCAGATCCCCAGAACCATCAAGGATGAGTCAGAACTCTCCAGAACCTAACTGCTGCAAACAAAACCTTTGCAACACATTTCTCTTGAGTTTCAGAACTTACAGAGCCAAACTGGATGAAGACCATGCCCTGGTGTGAGACTGAGGGGACCCCTGCTGTGAGACTGAGACAAAGAACCCCTGACTGCAGAGCTGCAAAACTGGATGAAACTCAAGCTTTCCAAACGGACATGGAAAAAGGTTTGCAGGTCTGGCATGATTAGGGACAGAACAAGCAATGTGTCTTTTGATGATGCTAATCATATCGTGTGTTTACTGCTGAGTAAAGACAACGCTAATTGATGCTAAAGAATGGACTGCATGCTACGCTATGCTACAGGAATATATGTTGAGCTGTTGCTAAAGCTTAGACAAGCTTTATTCACTAAGGATTTAAACACTGATATAACATTAGTGTTCATGTGTTCTTCAGATGCTCATTACATTTCCATTACCAAGTATGACCAAGAGTCATTTAGTGGAAGCCTGATGTCTATTCGCTGCTAGCTATTTCAAGGAGGTAAAGAATCATTTAACTAAAGGTTTTTGGTTCTTGATTAAGCAAATCATTTAATAAAACATTATTTGGCCAAATAATGTTTTATTCACCTCATGGATTTGCATTGTGAATTGGTCTGAAAACATTCCAATTTCTTTAAAATTAGTGAAAAGCTAATTTGATCACATTCCAAATTATTCCAGATAAACTTTGGTTTCAAACACAGAATCCATCTTAAACTGTAATATGTTTTTCAACCGTTTTCCCCTTCCTCTTTGTACATAGTAGTTAGTTTAGTTTAGTTGAGTTTTACTAGTCTTAGTTGAGAGTGTTAAACTGAAATATGTTTGACTTGGAGCTGAATGATTTTTGTTAATAAAATCTTATATTTTGAACAGAAGTTGTGGTGAATTTATTCCATGTATGTGCAGAAATAACTGTTTGACCATGATTAGTGCTCGAATCACTCTTTCATTTATTGTTCTAACACACAGTTAGTAGGACTGTGTGTCATAAACAGTATATAACAGCTGAAATAATATCTGATTAAATAAGATATTTTACCACCCCTACAGGGGAGGGCAATAAACATCTTAAAGTATCAGAAACATAAATTCCCAGCGGGCTGGGAATAGAATTTAACTATAGAATCACAACACAGTAATGGTTCGAAGACATTTTTATTACAATCTGGTACTTTGAACAGAATTTAACACTGAAATAAAATGCGTTTTTTATGTATCCATGTTAAATCTTTAAATAAAAAAGATCAACAAAAAAAAAAAACTTTTTCCATTTTGAAATCTAAAGTGTTTTTTGAAGTACAAAGAGAACAACAATCGTTTATATTTTGCTAAAACACCTGAACTGACAGTTTTTTTTTTTATGGCTTAATGAGAGCATTGGGTTTTAGGCTGCCCTGCAAGGCTTTAAAACCTGGGTTTGAATGACAACAAAGCCATTCTCAAGCCATTCCAGGCTCATTCATGAGCTTATATATTCCCAAAAACTAAGACCATTTGTTTAAATGATTGGATGAAAACTATTGGTACTTCAACATACCAGGAAGCAGATTTCTCATCTCGACAAAAATATTTATTTTAAACTAAGAGGCCTAAAAGTTTCATTAAATCAAGTCAAAAGAGAAGAGCGACTCTCACAACTTCAAAAGAAACTTCTCATCTCAGGCCTGGATGAAGAGATGCTGAGTTTGGAAGCAGAGAACAAACATAGTTCATACAAACCATGTATGATCTGAATTATCCCTGTTTCAAAAATCCACAATAAAACGAAAATATTTGAGCAGAAACTGAACATATGCTGGCTGGATGATGGTGGGAATAATTTTAATATGTCATATTAAATTAAGCGTTAATTTCCGCATGTTTTGCTTCTGAATATAATAATAATATTGCGCATACTCTGCTTGGACTCCGAGGAAGTCGGAGCGGAGCAAGACGGGAGGAACAGCAGAGGCTGTAGGTGCTGCTTTGTGCAGGAGGTCTGGAGTGCAGCGGGGCGGAGCGGATACGGAGGATGTGGGAATTCGGGTTTAGACACTGTCATCGGACAATATGCAGTAATTTATAAATATTTTAAATCAGTTTGGGTCCAGATTAGCCAGCAGGTGGGTCAGGATCCAGACCGCAGTCCGCTAATCCGTGACCTCTGCTATAGGCAGATATATGATAAAATAATGCCTTTGGGACTGCATAGGTGTTCATTTGTTATGAAATACAGTTGTTTTCTTCCAACCTCAAGAAAAGAAATATGCGTTTAAAGTGGGGCCGCCTTTCCCTTCTGGGTGCTGCCTATTTCATGATGTTGCTTTTTCATGTCACGTCTGAAGGCTGAACGAAGTCCGAGAAAGGAGCTGCATAAGGATTACTCAGATATGCATGAATCAAGCGAGATGCAACTTTTTGCTTAATTTTGATGAACAAATATCATTATACAATGTAACAATGTTAAAGGCTAAAAAAGTTGATTTTTCTAAACTAATGCCCTTTAAAATAAAAAAATAAAAAACCCTGGTTCATTTAGAGACGAGGGGTTTCTTCACCTTTTTATTATAAGTTAAATAAGCTCAGGATTCTTGACTTTACCTGACTCGAGTGATGCCCTCTCTGGGTTTCTCATATTTGGTCCTGTCTGTTCAACTTCCACCTGAATCAACTCTGTCTCATCCGTCTTTTTCTTGTGTGAGCTGTTCTTTTGACCGTCACCTCGGGACAACAAAGAACTTTTTTTGTCTTTGCTGTTCCTCCTCTCTCCTGGTTCACTGAGATCCAAAAGGTCCAGCGTTGAAGAAAGAACTGGAAAGAAAAAAAGAGAGGTAGTGTAAGGTTGGTAACAATAACCTTATACTAGTCATTGCAGACTTTTGAAATAGCTTGGTTTTTAATAAAAATAGTAATGACAATAAAAATACATTTAATTATAGCGCCTTTGAGGACACCCAAGGACACTGTACCACAAACAATCAAATACACAATATGATACAATATACACTATATCAAAAACAGGTGGTATGCAGTCTGGAACAGTAATGTGTCAATATTATGAATATTATTTTGAGTGAATTCTAGAGTTTGGGAGTGGAGCAGGAGAAAGCTCTCCTCCCCATGGTGATAAGGCTGACAGTAGGCTTAACAAGGTGGATGGAAGAGGGCGATCTAAGGGAACGGGCGGGGATCGCAATCTGAAGGAGGCCTGATAGGTATGGGGGAAGTTATAAACCGAAGTTTATTAAGAGATTTCTGGGGAAGACCAAAAAGAAGAGAGTTGCAGTAATCAATACGGGAGGTGAGAAAGCTAAAGACAAGAATACGATGAATGTTTTGTAGGTGAAAATATGCAAAACCAGTAATATTAATGATGTAGGACATAATGCTTTCAAGGATGAAGACACACCGCTGAAAAAAACAGTGAGAAAATTAAAAGCAAAAAGCTCGCCATCAAAAATGTTTCTGGAGTCTCTGAAAAACTCAAGAGGATTTTATCCAAATAAAAAATCCCAGTACATTTCAAACCAAACAAGATGCTTAAACAGAGAGTAGTGGATCCTAAAGACGAAACCTCCACATCTAAGATGAGAGGAGTGGTGTATGCAGCTCAGGGCAGTGAGGAATGCTCAGATCTTTATATTGGAGAAACCAAACAACCTCTCCACAGACGCATGGGCCAACACAGAAGAGCAACCTCCTCCAGACAAGACTCGGCTGTACATCTACTCCTTATGAACAAAGGACATTCTTTTGAGGACCAGAATGTTCACATTTTGGTAAGACAGGTGGTTTGAAAGGTGTGTGAAGCAAGCCATTTATGAAGCAAGCCATTTATGCTCTACACTTGGAGAATAAGATCTAGGATTGGGGCACGTGCGAAGCTTGTGTGGAGTAGTGATGGATCCAGCAACACTGATGCGTTGGAGCATGCTTGGAGCTCATAGAGCAAAGCACTATGTCATTGCACATAACTTGTCAAAAGTCACAGGACCAATACAGGAGCTGTTTCTAACTGACTGATGCACTAAGCTGTGTTTATAATTTATCATTAAAACAATCAAACATGGAGCAGTCTAAAGGCAAAAGTAACATTTGAGCTGTTTTGGATCATTTTGATCTCATATTTGTTTTAAGTTTCTCGTGGTGTCATCCTATTCCTCTAAGTCATCTGTGAAGTTAGGAAACTGAGTCTGGAATCATTTTCTTGCAAGATAATATTGAATTTTATTTATCGTTCTTTGGACGGAGAGGGAGATAGAGCTCTCTCTGGCTTAACCATCCTATATGGTTATTCCCAAGAAAAACACTTCCGTTCATCAAGGACATGAATTTCAGCCATGGCATGAAGGAGGCTGTGTGAACTCATTATCTCTCATGACCTTCCCTTCACCCTTGTCTAGAGTAGGGAGGCATCTGCTTTCTGTCCCCCTAAACAGTATAGCATAGTGAATGATATAGGATTTCTCTATCATTACTCCTATTCAAACAGGCACACTTAAAACATTTCATCTCACGAAATAGGCCAAGGAAAAATATGCTCTCACACATCACTCTTAGTTTACTGTTTTTATTGTACTTATTAATTTAAATATATATTTTTTAAATCCTAGTTGATAAGCATTGTTTCAGGAGTTGGTTGTAGATTGGTTGGGGACCCTAATGCAGAGACCAGGAGGCAGAGGTGAGTCTTGCAAATGTAATGGACAACTATAATGAGAACAAAAATAAGATTACAACAGGGAAAACTCATGTGGGAAGCCAGAGACGAGAGAACAACAAAAGAACAAACCAGGACTGAGTGACTGCAGAGGTGGTGTATATATTGGGAGCCTGAACCAAGACAAGCTAATCAGCAGATTGGGAGGAGGTGTGGGCAAGAATAACTAGGAGGAAGCCAAGGGCAAAGGAAAACAAGCACAAGGGGGCAACAAAGGGTAACTAAAGAAGTCATCACTGGTAGATCCTCATTAGTGTTGAGGTAAAGAGAGGCGTTGCTTGCCACACATCTTGTTTTGGTGCACAGAGAATGCTCAATATCCCCACCCAGAGGTGGAAATATTTCTTATTGCTACATAAATATTTTTAAAACATAAAAATTATGTGCAAATTAAATATAAGCTTGTTACACAACTAAAGGTACAGTGTATCAGACCATCAAAACCACCTGAATCAAACCTAAAGTAGACTGAGCCCTTCTAGGATGGCCAAGCTCCTCACTCTATTTTTAAAGAAGTGCCTGGTCGCCATGCAGAAGAAGTTAATTTCAGCCTCTTATAACTGGGCTCTTGTTCTTTCAGCCATGATCCAAATTTCACCCATAGGTGACCATAGGAGCTTAGAACGACAAGTAAACTGAGAGATGAGCCTTTTAGCTTTTATATTACAGCGAGGAGCGGCACTAATCTGTCTATCAATATTTAACTGGTACTCCTTTAATACATTTGATAAAAAGAGAAAGGCAGGTTCTTCAGGAGCTCCTATTGCCATATAAGAAGCATATATTAATGAATACTAATGTTGATTTAATTCAAAATTTAATATATTCTCTTTCAAACAGCTTTTTGTAATTATTTTCTTTTTCATATCAATTCTCTTGCTTCATTTTTTCTATTACTTTTTTGCAGCTGGTAAAGAAAAAAAACAGTCATAAAATAAAATGATACTCCTATTAAATCCAGATTAGTGAACTGGTGATAATTGAGGCATTTCTCTTTCATCCCCAAGGATTCTGATTGTGTGCCTCAGTTCATAACTGCAGGCATATGTCTGAATAACTGGCATATTTCTCTTTCATGACAACCAACCAGAGAGCATTTGCTGAATGAAATCTGTTTGTAATTAGAGACTGCTCTCATGCCTTGTGCTTTTTAGATGATGTGCATAATTACAAATCAAAGGAGACAGACTCAGGAGGGTAGTTGTCTGAACTGTTTTCAATGTTCTCAAAAAGGTACAAGCAGCTCAGGAAAAGACAGTGATGTCAAAAATCTAATTTCTTCATGAGACTGGATAAATACTTTCTTTGGCTCCCACTTTGCTGTTAGGTGGTTTCCTTGCAACATTTTTGCTCATATAGATTAAATTATGTACTTCCGTTTGGTCCTAAAAGCATGCTAGTGTCAAGTTAGTGCAGTCTGGCACTAATGCATTAAAAAAAATATATTGTAACAGGGCCATATTACAAGATAAGTATCTCAAGCTACATCTGTCTTAGCACTAGAAACCAAAGAGCTGTAGAGCTGCATAACGTACTGAATCGCGATAGATATATTAATATCTGACTGTGCAATATTGCAAGGACAGTTTGGACACCATATTCTTTTCTATGCTTCTGTGGGGCAATCTGTTTAGCTGGTAACGAAAGGATGGTGGCTTAATCCCATGCAAGGATGTGCATTTTCCATGGGTGATGTTGTGGCCTAAAGGTTAGAGCAGAGTGCTTGTGTTCTCAAGGTGGTTGCAAGTACCCCCACAATCCCCACAGACTGCAAGTCTGGGTCCCTAAACTAAACCTTTAGCCTCTGACTGCTACCTAGGTGTTGTAAGAGATACTAACTCTAGGAAAGATGGGGACAATGGTTAATTTTAACAAACAAAAGACTTAGGAAAAAGATTATTAAGAGTGATTATTGTGGTTTATTTCTAGTAACAGTATAGCTATTTTCATATTGATATTTTCCAGAATTATGCAGCCCTACTCATAAGTATTTTTGCTGTATTTTTCTGTTTAACAACTGTAGGAATTATAACTTTTAACTTTCAAAATGCATATTTGGTTTTCAGATGCAATCTCTGTTTTATTTGATTTAGATGTCTTTAAACCAGGAAGCACAAACATTTGGCTTATATAGGAGATATTTACCGTATAAACTGAAGAGATTATATGAATTAAACCAAGCTAGAGTTTAAAGAGATGGTAATAATTAAGGAGTTGTTTAATAATCTCCATACATAACTTTTACTTCTCTTGAATGATTAGGTTGCTTCCCCAGTGAATTACTTTTGATTTTAACATGGGGGGCAGCACACTCTACATGGAGAACCTATCTTTCATTTTTGCTCCATATAAGGACAATCAACTCATTAATGAGGCAGGAACCACAGGCAGTTCTTATTGTACATTTTGCACTAACATATTAACTTATTTAGGTTCCATTTGAAAAGTCGTCATCAAGCTGCTTGTGAATATAGAAACAACTAACAAATAGTAGTCTATATTAGAAATCACATTTATCATTATATTTACATTCTAGAGGAATCCGTGTATCATTCGTTCTTTCTATTTTCAATTGCCAATCAAAAAACAAAAAATAAAAAATTGACTGGTTATTTTGTTATTTGTTTTTTATGGTTAAACCAAAAACGAAAAAAGGATTTGTTTTTCATATATCAATTCTAAGCTCAGATCAAGAATACGAAATGGAAAAACGGACAGCAACGCAGAATTTGTTTTTAATATTTAATCGGTACAGTTTACGTGACCCGGAAATAGCTCTTTGCGCAGCAGTTGGGGTAATGAAGTGGCTACCATGGCGACGCTAGAACCACACACTATGTTGATCGAGAAGCTGTTTGTTGTTGCTAGTTAAAAGTACAGTGCACAGAAAAGTTTCAAGAAAAAAGTTATACCTGGAAAATCCTGCAAATTTTCTCCGTTGTCATGTCCTCCTCAAGAGTCACACGCTTGGATCCTCGAAATAAAACGTAACTGTCCATGGCTGATAGGTCCGACTGCCTTATCTGGTGCAGTTTGATCGAACGTGGTGGGAGTAAGCCAATTGTTTTTTTTAGCTAACGCTCCACCAAACTTCCGGGTCATGTAAACTGTACCGATTAAATATTAAAATCAAATTCTGCGTTGCTGTCCGTTTTTCCATTTCGTATTCTTGATCTGAGCTTAGAATTGAATTATGAAAAACCAATCCTTTTTTCGTTTTTGGTTTAACGATAAAAAACAAAAAACAAAATAACCAGTCAATTTTTGATTTTTTGTTTTTTGATTGGCAATTGAAAATAGAAAGAACGAATGATACACGGATTTAGAGGATACTTTAATTGCAACTTTCCCCCCTCAATCTAACCACAGAAAATAATTTAATAAAAATAATTCCATAATCGTAAGACATCGAGTTTATTCTATATAATTACGAGACCTTAATTTTTCTTCCCCAGAAGGTCTCTGGCAGAAGTGGACAAAACTCTTAGCCATGATTTGTTTAAAGGTGTGTCAAATTCACAACCACGCAAATATATGTAAATGTGTTGCATGGTACTGAGGGATGGGGTTAAAGTAAGTAAAGCTACGTCTGAGTACAAAATGTTTTAAGGACAACTCCTCTGAATCGGCTGAATAACTGTGTAAATCAGAGAATGATAATATAAATTATGGCATGGGGTGTCAACACTTTTTGGTCCTGGAATCCAAGATGAAGGGTCAAGCACCTTTCACTGCTTTCCCCAGTGATGAAAAGGACGATGTTTGAAGCAACCAATTTAAAAAAGAATGAGGTTCTGACAAAGGAACTAATATAAGACATCAGCTTCATCTCCTCTCAGCTCCCTCTGCTTTCATCAGCCTTAGCTGTTCCTTTTCTTGACCTTACTGTTCATACATGTTTTTTCCTCCTCTCCATATAACCTTTTTATAACTAGTTTCTATGCTATGCCCTTTTGTTTAATCATCTTTTTTCTCGTGCTGTTCTGTAGGGATTTGTCTTTCGTTAGAATTAGATTTATTTTTTCACAATACACCTTATAGCAAATGCTTTTTTATCTTCTTTTCTAGGAATTAGATTCTTAAGTTTATGCTAGCAGCAGAAGGAGCACCAGGAGGCTCTGCAACAGAACGCTGAGAGGTTGCAAAAATGTCAAGCCATATTTTACTACGCTAAACCAATATTAGTTAGCAGACAGTTTAGAGATGACACATCAACTGTTAAAAGTGGTTCAATAAATTATCATTTGGCAGATGGGAGGACATTTTGATCAATTACCCATCCAAACTAGCATGGTAGATGATATTTGTTTAAATCTTTCAATATTTTTAACCCTGTTGGAAAGGAGGGGGGGATTTTCTCCCTTTACAGATTTCTACTGTTTTCCATCTTCTTAGTCACCAATAATTGCTTAGAAAATTGCAACTTGTACAGTATTCATGTGGACTGAAAAAAAAAAAAAAAAAAACCCCACTTAATCTAAGAATTGGGTTCATATGAAGGTGTTGCAGCAAAAAAAAAAAAAAATTCTTAAAACAATTTTAAAGGTATTAAATAGGGGAAAAATGTCACATTTTAAAAGCTCTTTTTCTAACAAGTTACCTTAAGTCAGGGTTACTTTGAAAAAATAACAGACCATCTTCTGGACAGACAGCTTCAAATGTTATTTACTTCTTTAAGTTTAATATTGGCATGTTACACACAGAAAAATAAAATAACAAAAAAACCCACACAGAAACTAATAAGCTTATAAATATGAGCCAGGAAAATAGTTATAGCTAGTGTTGGAGTGAAAATGACAATCCTTTTCTAAGAGGAGGCACATCTGCCCCACCTCAAAGGCAGAATCCATCACTGGCTGCAACACAAATTAATTTGGAAACAAAAAAAAAAAGCTTTTTTCTTTTATTACATGTAAAATATGTGAAAATATGTAGTGTAAGTTATAACACTAACTGGTGTTCAAATAACAGATATTTGATACATTCAAACAGGAGAAAAACTAATATCAGATGGTTGATAAAAACATATGAGTTGAAAGTGGCTCCCACCTTATCACTAGAGTCCTTCGCGTATTGTGTGTTATCAGTAATTGAACAGAGTGAAAGGAAGAGCTGTACCGGCTGTGTTGGAAGTCACTGGGCGAGAAATCCCATCACATTTGGTCTCGCAGAGGAAATCGTCAATGGAAGGGCTTAATAGCGGCCGACTCTCTTGTTGCTCGCTCACCAGCTGTAAGGACAAATACATGAGACAGTTCAGGCTTTCACTCGGCCTGTTTCTGTGCAAGTCCTGTTCAATCCCTTGCAGCTTTGCTAACATGAAGTGAAGTTCGGCTGTTTGTACAGCAGTCACATGATAGCAATTCCCCTTATTACAGAAATACCTGCATCAAAAAATATATTTTTTTTAAGTGGCTGTGATGGACCAGGGAGGGGCTAAAGGGACAAATACAGTTGGTTTTTCATTTATTTTGCTTTACTTTTTCTGCAGAGTGATGTCACTTGAAAATATAGTTTTCGGTATTAATTAGATCTTAATTGTACATTATATATACAGGTAAAAAAAATGTTGACCCCAAATTCTTTTAGTCTATAAATCACCGATCAGTACCTAAAAACAGGGTGATTTGTTGTTAGTGTATCAACCTCCAACCACTCAGGTTGTCTAGTTTAAGTCTACTCTGTACATAGGGTGGCCATTTCTATAGCACCAAAAAGGAGGACATTGTGCGGCATATCAATAAATTACTAAGGTGTACATAAGAATCGGGTAAAGTCACATTTATAGCACAATTCTAAGTAGTTTAAAGAGGATGCTTGTGTAGCTGGATAGAACAAAATATTAAAGAAATGTAAAAAAGAATTGGTTCCCAGCATTTGTATTTATTTAATACATTGTGGTGTTTAAAAAGTGACCATTTTTTAACACGATTAATTTGCACAGAACTGCTGCAATTGATCATAAAGCAGTTGTTTGGAAAAGAAGCTCGAGAAAGAGCTAGAGAATAGGACGATGCAAACTGCAAAAAGTGGCTGGAAAAGAGGAATTCATGACATGGCTGCAGCCTGTCGAGAGTAAAGATGATTTCACCATGTTCTCTATCTATCCATATCTATATCTATATCTATATATATATATATATATATATATATATATATATATATAGACTTGAGTCATGGAACTGTGCTTACAGCTCCTTATTTCATGTAAACTAATAACTTGTGTACATGATACTTGTTGATGGCATTAAAATTATTTCTAATAGCATTAAAAGAGCATTAAATTAGAGTTCCTCATTCCTGTATAAAACCTGTGAACGCTTAATTTAATCTGACATATTAAAAAAATCCCCATCATCATCCAGCAGATGTTCAGTTTCTGCCCAAATATTTTCTTTCTGTTGTGGATTTTTGTAACAGGGATAACTAGGATCATACATAGTTTGTATGAACTCTGTTTATTCTCTGCTTCCAAACTCATCATCTCTTCATCCATTCCTGCAATAAGAATTTTTTTTTTAAAGTTGTGATATTCCCTCTAGAATCTCACAACTTCTTCCTGGTCTGTGGAAGCACCAATAGTCTGCATCCAATTATTTAATTAATTGCTCTTAGTTTTTGGGAATATATACAAACTATGCTCTAATTTCTAGATACCGATCTGTTTTTACTATAATTTAATTTGACAAACCGGGTCTTCTCTACATTCTTTTTTCTGTTTGGTGCGATTGCAATTGGTGGTCTTGATCTGGACGGACCGGAGGGGAGCATAAAATAGCTCAGCTCCGTATTTTGACGGTGAAGGACGAAGAAGACGTACGTGGGCGGTGACGAGCGGAGGATGTGGAACAGCTCTCATTGATTTACATGACAGACAAGTACTCCGTACGTGAGCGGGGCGGAGCGCTGACGGAGTATGTGGAATCTGGGGGTAAAGGAGGACAAATACACGTCCGGCTGGGTGCAGCGCCGGACGCCGGACAGTGCAATGAAAATCCGGACTGTCCGCCCTAAAGCCGGACATCTGGCCACCCTATCTGTACACCCAGAACTAGAACCATACATGGAAAGCAGCATCTAGTTCCTATGCTCCACTTTACTGCAACAAACACCCAGAAGACTGTAAAAGAGCTGAAAGGCGGAGCTCTTTGCCTTTAACTGTTAAAGTTACTCTTAACAAAGATTTTAAAGTTTGAGTTTGTGGTTCGGCTTCCTGTTTTTAACTTATTTTTATCTTTACTTGCTTTCATTTGGTTTCTGCTTTAACATTTGATTCATGTAAAGCCCTTTGAATTGTCTTAGTATTGAATTGTGTTATAAAAATACACTTTTGAATAAGAGAAACAGAGTAGAAACCCCCTTCTCTCTGCCTGCAAGTATTGACTGCAGAGGTGTGTTTGACTCCCTGTCTGGTTCGGGAGAGGGAGGGGCTGGCTCTCCCATTCCTCGCTGAAGAGGGCTGTTAAAGTCTTAGCAATCAATGCTTTCATATGTTGTTAGAAAAGTCTAAAGCAATACAGGTTAAAAAAAATCACTCGATTTGTCGCTAGTAACACAAAAAACAAAAAAAGTTGCTGGAGGGGTCTGAAAAGTTGCTAAATATAGTGACAACATTTCTACTGTAAGATGGCAACAGTGTGTTAAACTGCCTTCTATTCTGTCTTCCCTTTCCTATTATATATATATTTTTTTGGTCTGATCTGTGGACTGTGGGTTTGAATATGCTCTGACAGCTTTACAACTTACTTGTTCTCCTCAGACAATGCTTTCTGCAGTGACATCAGCCATGAATGGAGCAATGAGCAAGCATAGGTTGTGCTCATGGGAAACTTAGTGTCACACAGATTTGCTTAATATTGCAGATGATGTTAAAAAAAAACACATTTAATTAAGTAAATAGACTAATACTTGGCTATAGGAGTAGCTGTGCAACGCACCACAACTGAAATTCACATGCATTTGGAGGGTGTTAATGTCAAGTCATGATCAAAACACAGAAAGACTATAGCATAACTGTAATCCTACAGGACATTGCCATCCACCTGAACTGGCAAATCAGGCATGGACATTATTAATATTAGAAGCAGCCAAAAGGCCAAAGGGCAATCCTTGAGGAGCTGCAGAGATCCACAGCTCAAGGGAAAAAATCACAAGCTGGGCTGAAATCCTTAATGGGTGAGTGGATAGAAAAATGTCATTGTTGGAAGGAATCCATGAGGACTGTCATAATTAGCTTGTTACAAACCATATTTTGAAGATATTGCAGAAGAATGTGCTCTAGTTAGATGAGAACAAATATGCTTTGATACGCAGGAAAAACAAGACTACGTTCAGCTTTGCTGAATCACAAGCAGGGTGCAGTCTGTTTCGGCCAGCGAACATAGACTTTTCCCTGAAGAGGATTTGATGGCTACGACCAGCCTACAGCTGAACACTGGTTTGAGTCTAGACTTTCCGAGGCCCGAAAGCCATTTGGATGGAGTCAGCTGGTTAAGTAAACTTGCAGGGATGTGGTATCAGGTTGAGTCGCTCCTGCTTGCATCATTGACATTTGACCCTCAACACCAAAGTAATTTTTTTTTACTTTTTACTTGTTTACGTGGGGCGAAAGTGGCATTGAATGTAGGAGTTTGCACTGAAATCGAAGGGTTGACGGTTCAAGCCGGCTTTTATTTATTTCCGTTGTGTCCTGGGGCAAGACACTTCATCTACATTACCTACTGATGGTGGTCAGACTGCCCGATGGCAGTTCTGTCACCTGCAGCTGTGGCTACGATGTAGCTTGCCACCATCAGTGGTTAGGGTTAGGGTGTGTGAATGACTGAATGTAATGTAAAGCCCTTTGGACAAGTCTCCTGACTTGAAGTAAAGGCCATTCACATACCAAACTTGACAAGAGAAGTCTCATTCTGATCTCTCTTGATATACATGTACTGTACGAATTTAAGAAATACAGATTCTATATGTAAAGGAGCTTGAGAAAAAGTTAAAAGATTTAAAGCTGTTATTGCAGTTGTATAAATTAAAATAACTGATAGAACAATAATGCCTAAACCAGAGGGATATATATCTATATCCATCCCAAAATTAAAATGAGATAACATTTGTAAGAGCCAAGTGTACCTGAATTATTTTCCAAACTATTATAATTTATATCAACCTACTGTATATGAACACTGTTTGTAAACCGAAACTGATCTTTTTTTTCCCTTGGCAGGCAGCTCTACAGAGATGACCACATTTTACTTTCAACATATGGCCTGCAGAGAGCAGCATGATTTGATGAATTGTTAATGATTATGTCCTAAAAGTAATTACTGACCTCTCCTCAATGACTGTATCACGTTCCTAACCCTGGAAATGCTAATCATTTTCGTTGCTTGTGACCCCCATCTATGTGGGTTTGTCAGTGTAGCAGCAGAATAAGTTAAAATCTCTTGTATTATCTGCACTCAGAAGTCCTAACATATAAAAGGTACTGTATAAATGTAAACAATCTTGCAGATAATTATTTTTATCTGGGGTAAAAATGAGTTGCGTCCCACAAAGATCGATAAGCCACCACACAAGACTGCACGGTTAGACTGTCTGAATTAAAACTACCTATAAGGTGCATTCTACTTTTTTCACTGCTCTTTTGGCTTCACTCATAGATTATTATTAAAATGGCAGGAGGTTTAATTATGAGGGATGCAGGGGTCTGCACGTAACCTGTGTTAAAGAAAAATGATTATTTTTAGCTTTTAATACAGTTAATCTTATGGCATGTGTAAACACTCTCACTTGAACATATTTCTTAATTTTGAATAAGGCTGTGTTGATTATTTAAAACTACTAATGGGTAAGTATTTAGAGCACCAGGCAATAGAATGAGTATCTCCTGGGGGGTGAATAACAGTTAAGCCTGCAGGAGAGATTTCTGCTTGGTTTACAGAAGGTCAAAAGTCTTCCAGAATAAACAACCAGGGATGGTGTGAAACTGAATCAGGAAAAAGGCCCCCGCATTCCATAAGCTGTCTGTGGAGGCTTATCTTGTGTTTTATGACTTTAAGAATTCTAGATGCCAGGACAAGCTTTCCGCCTTTTCTTGTTAAAACAAAGAAGCAAATGACCCCAGATGTTTGCAGTAAATTAGGTAAAGTTTTAGGCAGTGTCAGAGATGGCTTTTGGTTGGAGGACCGAGGGCCAGCCCTTTTTGAATGGATTAGATACAAGAGGATAAAGCTTTCT